GCCATGTCGTGAGCCGTGAGCTGCGCGGCCCTGGGCGTGAGCGGCCGACACGCGACGTCGTCGTGAGCCGTGAGCGGCCGACCCATAACGTCGTCGTGAGTCGCGAGCGGCGGTGCCGAGAGTCATGTGGTCTCGGGGTGTCACCCGGAGCCGCTCGGTCGTGAGCCGGGGGTGGCGGTGCTGCGGGTCGCGGCCTGACCCCTGATTGTCGTGAGCACTTCGTGAGCGGCGCATGCCGTCGTCCATCTCTCGTGACTTGTGAGCGGCGACGGAGCGTGACACCGAACCCGCCGTCACCCGCCGTGACCTGTCACGTTTCCGGCCGTCACCCGGAGCACTAGCCCGCCAGAGCGCCGCCCCACCGTCACGTGACGCCCGCGAACCAGGCCGCTGGCGGTCACGTGACGGTCAGGGTCGGCGGCGCATTCCAGGCCGGTTGAAATGGCGTGCGCGTGGCGGAGCGTGGCCGATCGCGCCTGCACGGTGTTAATGAGAGACAGCACGCGGCCACGAGCGGGCCGGGTACGCACTCAGCGGGACTGCAAGGCGGCAACAGCACGGTATCTGGGCGTGCCCGTGTTGCGGCAGCGTTTGCGAGCGGTGGCTGGCAGTGCCGGTTCATCTCTCCGGTCTGTGGCGGAGGATGCGTACCAACTGCGCTACGTGCGCAGTTGATAAGATCTTGATCGATGGTCCTCGATCTGCGTGGACTTCGAGGCAGAATGCAGAAGCCTGCTCGCATTTATCTGCATCACTCATCGATGATGTGAATCGCGAGCTGGACAGGGCCAGGTCCTTGGTTTCAACTGATTGGATAATCAATTTGCATTCGGCATCCGTCACGCGCTCCGTCTGCATGTTCAGCGACGACGAATTGTTACGCGGAAGCTTGGCTGAGCTGCGTTTGCTGTCCACGAGCAACGCCGAACTTGCATTCCCAAACCGGTGCCATCCAAACCGGTTCCCTGTCACGTTTTATCAAACCGCTCTCCATCACCGAACGCATTGATTAACGTTGAATCACTAACCACTGCTTATAATGAGGCCGTGTGCCGTGTGCTTCCTGGAGTAACGAGGCTTGTTATCGATGGTTGCGGTCCATTTAAAATGATTGTAACGATGCCTGCCATATGTTCCAAACGTTCCGTCCAGTTACGACGGAATTCGTTGGCCTAGCCTGGCATGCCCACCTCGCGCAGTGACCGCGTTTGCCGGCCCGTGCCTTGCGCAGCCCTCGGCGGCCTCCCCTCCGGCGGTGGCTCGGGGAGGTCATTGCCTGCGGCGGCCCTATTCCTGTCGGCCGGTGTCGGCTGTCGGCGGCCCTCTGCGTCGGCACGCGCACCACCGCGGCACGCCCCGGCAGCGGCGGCCCGGCGCCGCCGTGCCGGAGGGAGCCCGTGCCGACCCAGCCGGCCGCCGGCCGCCCCGCTGACGCCGCTGACGCCGCTGACTGATCGGTCCACCAGGGACGGACGAGCCCGTGGCGGCGCCGGCAGCCGAGCCCGGCGCGCTCGAGCCGTCCAGGCGCCGGCTCGACCCGGCCGAGAAAGACGAGGACAGTCGGGTGGACGCGCTCCGGGCACGCCGTTCTCGCGGGCCCGTACGATTAGGCTCCCTGGAAGGCGCGTATCACTCTGCTCTACAGTGTCAGTCTCTCGTCAGGCTGTCTGGTCCAGTGGAGAGACCGGACCGGATATTGGACCGCGCCGGGTGTGTCTGGCCGTCTCCGAATCGCCATCGAATTCCGGACGTGCTCCGCGGAGCAGCCGTCGCTCCAGGACCGCCCACAATGCGCGGTCACGGCACTCACGCTGGCGGCGTCACGCACTTCGGGCGGAACGTCACACCTCCGAACGGCGGGCCGCGCCGGCGCCACCGGAGCGCCGCTCGACACGCGCGGCTCGCGGCCCGGCTCCGGGCGCCGTCCCAGCATGAAGGCGAGCGCTCGAAGCGACCGGGCCGGCGCGACAGCGCCCGGCGACAGATCGGTTGGACGCAGGCGGAGCTCGGCTTTCTGTGAGCCGCATCGGGTCAGGTCCGCGTGCGGTCGCGGGCGCGCGCCTTGTTGGTAGCCGCCCGGAGGTGGCCGGCGCCCCCTCTGTGCCGCTGGTCCGAACAGCGAGGTCTTCTGCGGTGACGTCAGCTTGCGGTCGTGGGCGAGACATGGCGTGGTACCGGTCACACCGGTAGTTACAGCTGGTCGCCGTTTTTACCTAAAACAGGCTTGTATCTCGCCGCTGTTTACTGCGGGCGGGTGATTTCTAAATCCCTGTGTACGCACGCCGAACTGGAAAGCTAACGAAATACGATCTATTGGCCACGCCTGACTGCTCCGGCCCGCCGTGTCCTGTCGGTTACTTTCGTTCGGCGTCAAGGCTCCGAAAAGCGTGGCTTTCCTCTGGAGAATTCAGCGTCTCGAAGTGCTCCGCCCGTGCCGCGGTCAGCACTTAGCTGCAATCGCCCGGCAATAAAGCGTGCCGCCACCTGATAATGTACACACATCGCCGTCGCCTGTCGTCGCATAGTGCCTGTCACACTAGGCGAAGCCTGCGGAGTGTCGACTCGTGTCAAACAATCGTCCCGCGTACTCTGCGGGCGTGGCGGCGCGACGGCCGGCCACGCCGCGAGCGCTGCTGACGGGCGCGTGCTGTGGCTGGCCGGTACGGACCCCGCCCGGTACGGCTTCTCCGCGGCCGGTTGGTCCGCCCCGCGCCGGCCGCTGCCTCGCGTGTCGTCGAGCGCGGCGCCGGCGTCAGTGGTGGCTCGAGCCGGCGGCCGGAGTGGCGGTCTGTGCGACGCGGCGCGGAGGAGTGTGCTGGCGCGGACTTCACGAGAGAGGCTGGGCACCGCTGTGTGGAGGGAGCGGACCGGTGAGCGAGGGGAGCGGACCGGTGAGCGGGGAAGCGGACTGGTGAGCGCAGGGAACGAACTGGTGAGCGGAGGGAGCGGACCGGTGAGCAGAGGGAGCGGACCGGTGGGCAGGGGACGTTCGCCGCTCCCTCCGGCATTCCGAAGGGAACGGCGGACGGCTCCTGCCGTGCCGTGTCGGGGCGGGACGCTGCTGAGAGCGGATTTGGCGGGCGGGCAGCGGGGCGAGCCGGACGCGGTCCGGTTTCTGGAGGAGTCTGTGTCTGTTGTTCGGCTCAGGATCGCCAGAGCGTGTGATGTGGAAGCCGGGTGACCGTCGGAAACAATCATCAGGGCAGTATCCTCCGCAGCTCACCGGCCGGGGTTGCTGATAACAGAGCGGGATCTCACGTCTGACGAGTGATGCCCGCCACCTGTTTCCCTGCACCGAGCCGGGTTATTCCGTCAAATCCCGTATGGTGAAAGTAATTCACGGACATGCCTGCAAAGGGGTGCAAGCTCATCATCTTGCCACCTGCCAGCGAGGCGCCCGCGTGATTCACACCCCCGATTATGCTCGCAATAGCGGCGCTAGCTGTAACTTGGCAGCTGCTGACGCTGCCACATCAGGTTGCGCCACTCGATCTCGTTGACGGGCTGTCGTCAAACATGTGGTTCTCGCGGTCGGCCTTTTAACGAGGCGGTGCCTGCCGGCCGACAATGGCCGGATGATGGCCGGCTTCCTGGTGGGACTGTGCGGCGGCCTGTCACGGGTGGGACGCGACACCGGCTCTTCGGCGCCGGGCGCATGCGGCGCTGTCCCGAGTCAGCCGTCTGCAGTGGCAGTCGGCCTTGCGTCTGCACGCTGGTTGCCTACGCCTCATATCCCGAGCGCTTGGCTATTGCATTATTCACTCGAAGGCTCAGATATCCTTCGACGTCGCTCTGCTTCGCGCGCTCTAAGGCACTCAGAGCTTCCTAGCGTTTGATCGAGATCTCTCGGCGTTTTTCTGCAGCTGACCCGCCACGTCACCGCCGAGCTGAAGCGTGTCCGATATCAGTGTATCTAAAGCGAATGCCTTCAGCCGATTGAACGGGGGCGTGCACCCGCCGATAACGAAACAATGCCGCGGCGGGACGTCGCCCGCGCCGCCCGCCCGTCCGATCGGCCGCGAACAATGCGACGTCCAGCCGCTCGCGATCCGCCGGCCGGCTCCATTGGCCACGCCGTGCGCCGGGGCCGAGCGCTGTCCGGGTTCAGGTCTCGGCGGCCGCGTGTCGTTTCACGGACGACGATGGCAAAAACTGGCCTGCCGGCGACGAGTCGGCCGTCGGCGGGCGATCCGGGTCACGCCGCGACCCCGGCAGGTCGCCGGGCCGTCGCGCCGCGCCGGCGAGCGCGTCTCGCGTCGCCCGCCGCAGACGTGACGACCGTGACGGACGTGACACGCGCGGCGGGCCGACCTGGTCATGGTCCGTCAGTGGCGTCGGCGCCACGACCGAGGTCACACCGCGCGGTCCGACCTGCCGGCTGACGGGTCAGCGCCGTCAAGGTCCGGATGAGCGGGCCGGCCTCGCTGCCGCCCGGCTCCCGGCCAGGCTGCTCCAGCTCGCCCCGCGCGACCGGACGACGGTCCGGACGTGACGCCAGCGCGCCGGCCGACAGGAGCCGGGCTCGCCGCACGCCTGCAGGTCTCAGCGTGGCTTCCGCACCGGACACCGGTCGGCGGCCGCCGGCGGGATCGTGTGCGGCCGTGCTCGCCGCTACATCATCCGCTGATGAGGATGACTCACTGTCGACTTTGGTTGCTCTTGGTCGCGTCTTTTGACCGTTGAACACAGCCTCGGTCTAAACACTGGCTCTGTTGGTGTCTCTGCCCCGACTTTTGTGTTGTGCTGAAACTGCGGTTGCTGGTAGATTGCACCGTTACGGAATCCGTGCTAGCAGAGCCCGGCTTAGCCGCTTTTTCACTCCGCAAACAAAGGAGCACGCGTGGTTGACGTTCTGCAGCCAGAGCCGCTCCTGTCTGTGTATCCCAAAAGCTCATTCGCTATTATTAAAACCAAATCCATGTTCGCTCTTGGTGTCGCTGTTTTTGTTGCGCTGCCGCCGTGTCCGTCGCCGTCGCTTGACGTGTTTATTCTGCCGACAGAGGCCGCGCCACCGTCGCCGCCGCCGCCGCGACCATGGAGCGGACGGAGGTCAGCGCCGACGGCGTACTCACGCCGCCGCTCAGCACCGACTCCAGCCTGCAGGAGCTGATCGAGGCGGAGCTGCGCACGCGGCGCGCCACAGAGCCGGAGCCCGAGCCGGAGCCGGAACCGAAGGCGGAGCACGAGGAGGCGGAGGACGAGGTGAACCCGATGGTCGTGGCCGCGGAGCTGAAACCGTCACGCTTCATGACGGCTCAGCCAGAGAGCATTCTCGTGGTGGAGGGGGAGGTCGCGGCACCGGCCGACTGCGACCCCGAGGGCGCAGAGATCTGGGAGGATGAGGCGCCGCCAGCGCCGGCGCCGCTGGGTGACCAACTGGAGCGCTCCGGGGCGGTCGACGGGGCCCACCGCAGCGCTGCCGAGGCCCACCACGCCGCCGACGTCGCTGCCGACGCCGCCGCGGCCGCCGAGGTGCGACAGTGCGTCGCCAGAGCCGGCTCGGCCGAACGCCGCGCCTCGGACGCCTCTGGCCCGCGCTCCGACGACGAAGAGTACCAGACTGAGCAGCACCACGCGGAGGAGCCGCAGGCGGGGGCCGCAGCAGGCGATGACGTGTGTGCACCACTGCAGAGTCTGCGGTCGTCGGCTGAGGCTGGCCCTGGTGAGGCTGACGCGGAGCCCAGCTACCCGGAGGAGGCTCCGGAGAAAGTTCCAGAGGACTTTCCGGAGAAGGCTCTGGAGAAGGCTCCGGAGGAGGTTCTGGAGAAGGCTCTGGAGAACGCTCTGGAGAAGGCTCCAGAGGAGGCTCCAGAGGAGGTTCTGGAGAAGGCTCTGAACAAGGTTCCGGAGGAGGCTCCGGAAGTGGGTGAAGCCAGGTGTGGCCAGTTGGCCCGCGAAAATTCGACGGGCGATGATTTGCCGGCCGCCCCGGCGCCCGACGACGGGAAGGAGCAGCAGCAGACTCCGAGCGAGCCGGACCAGGAGGTCAAGTTTACCCCCGAAGTCACCTCACCAGTGTCCGATGACGTCATTGGCGATATGGCGTCGAAGATCACAGACGAGGACAGCGACGAGGGGGTGAGTACTTTCGTCTAACACCCTTAGTGCACCAGGATTAGAAATGCAGAAGTCCGTTACCACGACACCAGCTGTCGGTGCCAAATCAGTACCGGCGTGACTGTGCTGGGAACTTACCGGTGCCGGGAAGTGTGGGAGTGGGTTGCACTGGGAGCTGTTGCCAGTGCTGCTATCAGCAGCAGCCAAATCGTCCCTCCCGTGGGCCCTTGCTCTTAATGTAGACGGGTGCCGGTACGACGCTGGCGCCAGCTTTGACAAATACCATATCTAGTCGTCACGTAAACATTTGCCGTTATTGCAGTGACTCATATAGATTAAGTTCGTTTCAGGGATTTGGTGTGTGTGTGTCGCCGTGATAAATCTGGCAGCCTGCCATCGCCTGGTAGTGATCGTGTCGCCACAGGAATCCGTCCGTCTGCCGCCGGGTCCCAGACCCCGTTGGCACCCGTTCCCCGAGCGTATTCTTCTCGCGCATCGGCGGCTTTCTCAGCGTGGCCTCCTCTGACTGACGCTGGAAATTGCACGCCTAGCGTCACGCAGCACGCGTTGCGCCTCGTGCCGTGCGCGGCGCCGTGCCCCTCCCCACCGCCGGAGTGAGGGAGCGGTGCCGGCTGGACGCTGTTTACGCTCCCACGGCTGCCGCCGGCGGCCGGCGTCGTTTTTGTGTCGGCGGCGGCTCGGTGTCGACGCTATCGGCCCGCCGGTGGATCAGACGCGACCTTCGCCGAGGATTACGGCTCTCCCCGGACATTCCGCCCGCCGGACAGCGCTGTTCGCTGTGCGCTGTCCGCCCAGCGCTGTCCGCCGGCCCTCGTCGCATCTTCGCTGCCCCGGCTGCTCGCGCGCGGGCGCGGGCGGCGGCGTCTTCGCCCGGCGCCGCGCCGGTGTGTCATGCCGACCAGCTATTGGCGACGAGGCTGCCCTTGACGGTGCCCGGCGGCCCTGCCGTTACCGCAGCAGCCACCGCAGCTCGGGGTTGTGAACGCAGCGCGTACGCGTGGCACAGCGAGGTGCTGACGTATGCTCACGTACGACTCCCCGGGGAGTCTCGGAATCTGAAGCTGGCGCTCTGTCAGCGGCACGTATCTGAGGCGGAATGTCTTGTCTGGCGCCCAGCTCGATTTCCTCGCATGCTAGCGCCTTCCCCGCGGTTTTGTTTCTTATTCAGAAGATTTCTTGATAATGTTTAATCTCCCTTGACAGCAGTGGAAGCATGGCTGGCATTTATGGGTATTGCTAGTCATCGGGATGCTGATTTTCCTTGGACAACTTCCGTCATCCGTCTCGTGCATTCCAGAAAAGCCATAAACGCGTCAGATATCTGCCTGCACAAAACCCAAGCCATGCGACCCGAATAACTGTACCCACATTGTTCCCATTGGTGCTTGATTGTTTCAAAAACCTACGTGCAAAAACGGTGCAGGTTTTTCGCTCGGTGCCGCGGCAACCGAGCTCTGGCAGCACCCGGCTGTTTTCTGCGTGCCGTCCGTGTTGCATCTGCCGTGGCTGGCCCGCTTTCTCCGACGACCGTCACGGACCCGGGCCCCGTCGCGGTCATTTGGCCAGCGGGAGCCGCTGCTGACCGTTCACGAGGCCACGCGGTCGCCGCTGCACATTCCGCACGGGCTTTCCAATCAGGTGCGCCCGGCGACCCGGCCCGGCGCCGGCGCCGCCCGGGCCGACCGGGCCGACCGGCCCAGGCGGTGTGGGGGTGAGGTGCTGAGGGGGCGCGCGCCGCCGCCCGCCGGACGTGCCGGCCGTGGGGCGGGAAGGCTGTGTCGCGTGGCGGGGGAGTGTTGCGGCGAGGTCGGGACGTGACGGGATGTCTTCAACGGGCGGATTGTCACACGGCTACCCGCGGAATGTCACCGGCCGCAGTAGCCCAAGGCGCATGTGGAGGCGCCTGTTTCGCTCGAGGAAAACGCTGCTGAAGCATTGGATGGAGCATGGGTAAACAACGTGAAATGGTTGTTTGGTTTCGGGGTCATGACTCATGACGCTTTGCTCTGCTTTACATGAACGGTGATCACAAATCTGTTGGACGAAATAGGGCGTATTTTAAAGAACATGGGCAGCGACCACGAAGACGGCCAAGTGGTATAGCGGTGGGTGGCGCGGGGCTTATGGGACGAACCGTTCATGGTTACGGGACACGGAATACTGGCCTGATTGCAATTTTGCAATTCTTCGCCGTCGCCAAATCATTTCGTTCAAGGTGCACGAGCTGTGCAATCTTAAACAGATTGCAATGTGTCCTAATGGCCCCGTGACCTTGTGACCGTTATCACAGCGGGTTGTTGTCGAGGGTGTTAATTTCTAGGTTTTGCCAACACCTCGCGGCTCGACTGAGTGAGGTCCTGCGCTGTATTTAAGATTACCTTCTGAGTGCGGTACGCCGGAGTGTCTTCCGTGGGTGTAATTCTGTCCAAAGCATCTGTTTTTGCATTACCAGCATGTACTGCATTTGGCCTGTTTTTTGTTGTTTGTATTTTTTTTTTTTTGCAAAACGTGACGTCTGCACCAACTAATAAAGCAGGTGTGGGTGGATACTGCAATCACTGTAGAAATCAGCGCGCCCAGCAGCGGCGTTGTAGTTCCTGTTTAGTGAGTCGGGGCTGCTCTAGCCGCCACAGTTGAGAAGAAAGTGGATCAAATTTTCTGGAAGAATCCTGTCGGGGCTTAGCTTGCGCCATTTCAGGTTGATTTATCAAGTAAGGTGGGCCATGTTATGAAAGCTTGTCCATTTCCTCAGCGTATTTTGCGAAACAACGCCGTTCTCATTTAGTGAACGTCATCTTTAGAACTGATTCCGTAGGATAGTCTTGGCACGCCAACAGGTCATAAATGATAAGCTCATAAGCGATGTATGTTTCATTTTCGTGCGTAGCACAAGAAAACGTTTTATCGTAAAAGACTTGTTCACACAAATTTCTTGAACCTTTATAGAATATGCTGGCTACCATAGTCAGACGTAAGGCTTGTGCCCATCTAAAACTTTTAACGGAGATGAGTGTTCTAAAGTACGGACACTAGAAAAACTACACCGTGCGTGAGCATTGGTTCCCACGTAAATCGGCCAGTAGTAAGACAATGACCGTCACGTAAACATTTATGTTTAGTTTAGTACTTATGTTATTATTGTTATGCTCTTATATTCCACATAGCGATTCGCTTCATATGTAAACGCAGTTTGTAACGATTATTTCCGCCCACATCAATGAGGAAAAATCGCCATCGTGACGGACCGATGGGAGCAAATAGTTCCAGTAAGACAGACGTGTACTCGTGAGGCCGTGTTTGAATTACGCTAGCGAACGAGGCGAGCGCGTTTCACTAGCTTTCCTTCACGTTCGTAGCTCGGACGCCTGTGGGATTCTCGATGCGGGGCGGTGTGAAAGTGCGGTCAACCAAACGTAAAAACCTAGGTACAAACTGCTGCCCGCTTGGTCCTTTATACGCCAGGGGCCATAAATCCAGCGTCCTTCGGGGGGCGTTACGCGTTTTTGTCGCCCCCTTGCTCGGGCGCCGCGCGCGGTCGCCGGAATGGCGTAAGTGGGATGCGGCGGGGTCAGTAACGATGTGACGCCGGTTTTTGTTCACTTGCCATTTGTACCCGCCAGGTGGGGGACGGCGCCGACAAGAGAAGGGCGGACGGCAAGGAGGGCAGCAAGAAGCTGCGCAGGAAGAAAAAGTCCGACACCGAGAAGGAAAACAGCCGCGTGGTAGGCACCAGCTCGGTTTATACCTATTTTCCGTGTATAAAGTATCTAAGAAACACCCGCCACCAAAGCCGGTCAGCGTCCCCGTGTTGAGGGACGGTGGGAGGGAGGGAGGACGGGAGGGCACTGCTTCCTTTCCAGACAGCCTTTTCAGACGCGTGGAGCGGCGCGGTTCGTCGCGCCGGCAGCGGAGGCGGCGGCGCGCGCCGATTGGTCGGCCGCCGACGCCGGCGTCGGCCGACGGAGCGGAAAATCGGTAATGTCCCGCGGCGCGGCGGCCGGGTGTGGTCGGCCGCCGCCGCCGCCGCGCGGACGCCCCGCCGGCCTGTTCTCGCTTCGGAGCGGGTCAGGCCGGCCCGGCTCCAGACGAAATCGGCGATCACGAACACGGGCTTTCACGACTTTCACGAGAGCAGCGTCGGGATGCGAGAGAGCATACCAGGTCAGCTTACAGCTCTCTGACCACCATCCACCATCTGAATCATGGGGGCTGGGGCAGCTGCTGTGTACCTCAAGCTATGCACAGTGTGATAAGCTAGATCACGACGTTGGGATGGGAAAGAATGATTTGTTGATTGTTTGTCTTGTTTGGAAAAGGTGCCACCGTGATCTTCCCATTGGAAAAACACGGACAGAACGTTGTGTCTTACATGCGTCGGTTACAGAGATATAGGTGTGCAAGTCCGTATGCAACATAGTTTCCTCTAATCATTCTCTTCAAAGAATGGTTTGATGACCCTCATAGCGTTTTTCTCTAGCAGAATTGATTCCTGCTAATTCTTGATGTGTGATGTATGATGACCCTTTTCTTCTCTGTGTTGCTTCATCCTGCGTCTTGGCGACACCCCGTTTGTCCAGGGTAGGCTGCATGTGCCGGCCACGGGTGGGCCGAGAGGCCCCTGGCCCCGACCGGACGTCCAGCGCATTCAGTCTGCGCGCGGGTTAAAGCTCGGTTACCCCCTCCCCCCCCCCCCCCCCTAGGCGCATGTAGCTCTGCCCCACTGTTACCCATTCTCCTTTATTCCCTAGTCCTGAACGGATCATTTCTGGTCAGGGGGCTCAAATCCCAGCAACCAAGCCCGCTGATGCTGCCCTCTGGATTAAATCGCACCTATGTGGTCAGCGACATCTACTGCGCTGGATGTGAACGACAGTTGTTCAGCCCCGCGGGCCTGGATAGCAGCTACTGTTGTACCTTTTATCCGCTAGGTGGCAGAGACAGGCGTTTTTTGCTTTTACGAAGTCTCCTCAAGTCACCAAGATGAGAAAACAGCAGCGGAAAGTTGCAAAGGACATGCCCTCGATATGGCTGAGGAAAACTGCATCTCATCTGAATTCTTCTTTCCTACTCCCCATACCAACTTCGCTGTCAATATCCAACAGTTATCTAGCAGCCATCTCGCTCTTTGGAGCAACGGACATCGAGGCATCATGGCAGCCCAGCTCATATCTGGGACCATTTTGAGAGTGACATGGCCCCACAGTAACGCACGCTTTTATCGGTGACCGTTAGAATTAGAGACGCGTCAGCATGAGTTACTAAGCATTGTCCCGTTCGCGCATTTTGCGTAACGCCGCTAAGTGGTCAGGGTTGCCAACTACATTCCATCCGTCCAGCCGTCCAGCCCTGCGCGCAGGAATGCTATGTGGGACGCACCGCAAGGTTTGTTTTTAACGGGTGTCGACCTTCATTCAGTGGGACCGCCTTCGTTCTTCCAGCACTTCCCGACCAATCCGTACCGTTTTGTTCACACAGGGTCCGTGTTGTGCCCAGATACTGGGACAGGTCTGGAACTGCGCTATCGCCCCACTGGCTGAACACTTTTCTCGGAACTCGCTAATATGCTGTGACTATTGGCATCTTTCTCTGCGTGTCGATTCTCGTGATATCCCGGAGCGAGGATGCAGTCCCCTATTCGTTTGTGGTCCCTCCCCCTCCCCTCCCCACCCACATTTGAGAAGAAATTAGTTAAATTCTGGGGGAACTCGTTTCCGTGTATTTTGGACGCCCGCATGGGTATTTTCCGAGCTCCCCCCTCCCCCACACACACATTTATTTTGCGAAACCACACCTGTGTCCTCTAGACCCCGGCTCTCGCCATGGCACTTGGTGCCCGATTCCCGGGATACTAGGTGCCCGATTCCCGGGATACTGGGTGCCCGGTTCCCGAGACACTCAGTGTCCGGTTCCCAGGACACCCAGTGTCTTGTTCCCGGGACACTCCGTGTCCGGTTCCAGGGAAGCTCGGTGCCCGGTTTCCGGGATGCTCGGCGCCCGGCTCCCGGGATATTCGGTGTCCGGTTCCCGTGCCTGCCCGCCGGCCTCTGAGCCCGCTGACCGCCCTCCACCGAACCAACTAGAGCGCAGTACAGCCCGTTTCCCACGGCCGTTTGTCATCTCCCGAGCATGCGGCGACGCGCGGTGGGAGTGGCCGTGGACGCGTGTCGCGCGCCGGCCGGGCCGCAGCACGTGGCGCACGTGGTCGGTCGGCGGGTCTCCCCGCCACGGTGCGCGGCTGGTGGGAGGCGGCCGGCACTGGCGCCGCAATCTGGGTCACGTGATGTCGACGCCTCGGACAGGACAGCTGACATTTGGGACGCCGGCTCACGGGAAGTGCGCACAGGCAAAAATGAGCGATTCGAGTGAAATGTAACTGAACAAAAACATTCCGCGTTGTCCTGTTTCCTCACTGGCTATGAGAAAGGTTTGAGTAAGTACGTTCGGTTATTTTCAAGCGCGTTGAATCGCACGCTGGAGCTTCGCAACGCGCCATCACGCAGCCAGCTCTGACGCGCCCCATGCCCTTGCATTTCGATGGCCGTGCGCCACGAGTACATGTGATCCCTGGAACTAGCCGGGCTGTGCCTGCGACTACATGTCTTGCGCGGCTGAACACGGCGGCCGGTCACCCGCACCGTGAAGCCAGAGTGGTCGCCGTCAGTGGTGCATGTAAGGCTTCGATCGTCGCAGCTGACGGCAGTCAAGGCCTTGGAAGTTATGCGGCTTCCTGAGGCGGGCGACGCGGCTGCGCCGGTCACAGTCGGTGGACCCTGTTTACTCCTTGCGGTCCCGATTGTTTTCCCCCACTTTCTTCCTCCCGTGCCTGTTTGCGTGCCGACTGTCTTCCCCCGGCCGTCCTATATCTGTCGGCGGGTAGTGGGATTAGCGCCTCTCGCCGCCGCCGCCGCCCCCGCCGCTGACGACGCCCCCCTGCGCCGGCCGCCGGCCCGCTGCGCCCGAGATGGGCGTGCGATGCGGCGCCGTCGCCAGCGGCTGTTGATCTGTCCGTGCCAACTCTCTCTCTCTCTGCTCGGCCGACGGACTTTCGGCGGCCCGTCGCGCCGGCCTTTCCTGCCGGCTCCGAGCCGCTAATGGTCCGGAGAGAGCCGCTAGCCCGGCTGCAGTCCACGCCGTGACGGGCGCCGGCGTCGCCGGCACACTGGCCGCCTGTCGATATATGCCCGTTTCACTCGGCGGCGTTGCGTCGGCGGTCGTTAGCGTCTGTTACCTCACCGAGCCGGCGGCGGCCAGCTGTCTGTCTGCCGGCTCGCTGCCTGGCCGGCCGGCCGATGCGCGGCTCTGCGGGTCGGGTCAGCGGCCTCCGAGGTCGCGCGCTCTCGTGAGCCGCTGCCGTCACCCGGCCGGCGGGTGGAAGCTGGCGGAATGTTTACCGGATGTGGCACCACTTGGATTATGAGCGCAGCAACCCGTTGTGACAGCTGTCGCGTTGAAGGAAAGCTTGTACAGGCGGGTGCAGGTGAGCTCGTGGTCGTGATGTGCCGCCTCCTTTCCGTATTCTACGCCCCTGACCTGAGCTCGTGGTTACACAGTTGTCCATGATAACAGCCGAGCTTCCCTGTGCTGGGATGCGATCAGATACCTTTTCTACGTGATTAGCATCTGCAATGTCATGGTAACCATAGCCATGTTCAGAATTGCACTTATGAATGCGGCAAACAGCTGCTTTGTGTTCTATTACGGAGAGGACCATTCACATGTCGTTTGTACGTCATAAGCATCTGTAGTGTCACTATAAGCGTTGTCATGTTAAGCACCCCGCATAAGAACGATACAAATTTTAGTCAACGAATTTCGATGCAGAAATCGTGTCTGCTTTCACACATTCGTATTCCCACAAGCAAGACGAAGGATGTTGGTGAGGTAACACGCATTGCCAGAATTCAGCAAGCTTGGCCCACTTGGCAAACGCTGCCAGGCATGGCGTCAGCAGAGCATAGCAATGACCGGGAGAACTCCCTGCTGACTGGCATAGTAATGACGGGGATAATTGACTGCTGCTGCCATAGCAGTGACCGGGAGGACTGCCTGCTGACTGCCATTGTAATGACCGCTAGAACTGCCTGCTGACTACCATAGCAATGACTGCGAGAACTGCCTGCTGACTGTCATAGCAATGGCCGGGAGAACTCCATGCTGACTGTCATGGTGGTGACCGGGAGAACTGCCTGCTGACTGTCATAGCAATGGTGGGGAGAACTGCCTGCTGACTGTCATAGCAATGACCGGGAGAACTCCCTGCTGACTGTCATGGTGATGACCGCGAGAACTGCCTGCTGCTGCCATAGCAATGAGCGAGAGAACTGCCTGCTAACTGTCATCGCGCACAGACGCTGATAGTGAAACGGCGCCGTTCCTAAAGCCGTCTCGTTGGCTTTGCTAATACCACGTTTCAAGGCTGTCCTTTTGCAACGAAAGGGCTCACACAAAGATTCGTGCTCTGTAATCTGTTGTTCGCGCAAACGATAATACATAGCCACCCTATTCCGCACCACTCCTGCAGCATACTGAGTTCGTCCAGCCACGCCCCCGTGAGTCGGCTGATTTTCCCGATCATCGCCTGATGTTCAGTACGGCCTGAGCTCCCTGACCGTTGCCTGATCTCCCCGAATAGCTTTAGATTTCCCCGAACATCTCCTGATCTCCCCGAACAGCGCCTGATTTTCCCGAACAGCACCTGATCTCCCCGGACATCGCCGGCTCT